TAGGGTGGTAAGATTGTTGCGCTGTTGATACTGGACTACATCATCATGTTGTTGAGAGTGCTGAGGTTCTGTTGTGCTTTCTTCGAGATTTTATTTGAAATGGGTATACACGTGAAGAGGATCTTGGAGTTTGGGAAGGTTTTGTTGGCTGTGGCGATTAATTTCTGGGCTTGGTTAAAGGAGGTCTTTGGTAGCTGATCACGGTTGTTGGACCTACATGAAGAGTAATGGTAGTAGGTTTGGGATCATGGTCGTATGATTCCAGGATTGACTGTATGTGATGGATTTGGGCACCGGGGTAAGAATGTATTTCAGTGTCTGAACTGGTTTTGGTAATTCGATTCAGGTTGGATGATCCACTAATTAAGGTAGATTTCTGTAGAGCAGGTAGCTTCCATAATGATTTGTCCTTGGTTTGGTGATAATACGGTTTGGTAGCGGATATAATGGTCGTCGACGGTGTGATTGGTACTGGTTTGGTAGTTGTTAGAATTGTAGCATTGGGAACGCACTGGGATCTGGTTCGAGGGGGGAAGGTCTGGATACACGTCTCGACTTGGATGGAGACTGAGGGGTGGTTTGCTGGTCCAAAAACGCACAGAAGGAAGAAAGGTTGGCGGATCCTGGATCACGTGGTGAAGATTCAGATGGTGTGGAAGGGGAAGACGAGTCTGAAAGTGAAAAGAGAAGGGGGGTGCCCTCTCTACGAGAGCGTTTACCTATGCCTGCTGGACTAGGAGTAGGTGAACTTCGGGCTTGTTTAGGGGTTTGGTTCGGCAGCGTCGTGGCTCTAGATGGTGCAGGTGTAGTGTCCATTTCAGTTGGTAGAGATATGGTTACTCTGGTTTTTGTTTCGCTGATTGTTTGGTAGAACTTGGTGATTACAGCTTGAGTGAGACGTTTCCCATAGGAGCGACGGGCCCAGGACAGGGCATGAGAAACGATGCGGTCGACGGCAGGTAATGATAAAGACTTGGTACGAATGGTGGTCAGCTTCTCTTGAAGTGTGGTTTGGTAATGGTCGATCAGGACCTGCGTAACCTTAGAGAGCCATGTCCGATTGAGGGATCTAATATTCGCGTCAACAGCTGATGTTTTCATTGCTGGACGGATAAAACTATCCAACTCAGAGACTTTGCGTTTGAAGGTAAAAGCTGGTTGGCCTTGCTGTTGAAGGGTAAGGATTGCCAAATGATGGAGGCACTGCAAAACTTGGAAGAACACCTTCACCTTCCTTATGAGTGGGGACTGGTTGGCGTCGGTGGGCTGGTAGTCGTTTCTGTTGTTGGTCAGGTCGATGGTTACCTCTTGATTGGTAGGTGTTGTGGGTAGGTCGGCGATGGGATGGGATATAGCTGGATGGGTTGGTTGGTGGTCGGCGATTGGTAGGTGGTAGAGGTCGATGGAAGACAGGGCCGTTGTAGGGTGCGTGATATTGGTTTGGTTGACGATTAGTGTTTCTATGTCTGGCTTCTTGCCAGTGGTTGTTGTAGTTGGGGAGCATAATGAAAATAACTTGAGGTTAGAAAGGGAATGTACAGCGGATGTAACAGGAGGAAACTGTATATGCTAGCGTGAAAATGTGGGGATCAAATTATGCAAATAAGTCAAACTGGGTTTGGGGATATATAAAGTAAGATGAAAGTTATGCTGAAAAAAGGCAAAAATATATATTTAAGTGATAAATAACGCTAACAATGTTGTGAAAAATTATAACAAGTAAAACAAAAACTTACGCAATTGACACGAACCGGTTTTCGAAAAATTATCCTTTTTCAAGTGTCGAGGAATGGTTATCGTTGGTTTTCCGTACATACACAGAGGTAGTTAAACTTAGCAAAGATAAGTTTAAGTTGAAATATGTATCAATCACTTTTTCTATTCACAAATATATTATTAGAAATTAAATTATAATTCATTGAGTTATCGTTGGTTTTCCGTACATACACAGAAGAAGTTAAACTTAGCAAAGATAAATTTAAGTTGAAGCCATGCATACCGAAATGAATTAGTTACAAAGTCGAGCTCAGGCGAAACTCAAAGAATTATAATTTAATTTCGAATATATTTGTTAATAGAAAAAGTGATTGATACATTTTTTTACTAAAATTTTGATCGGACACTTACGGACAGCAAGAATTTGGCATGTTTCTCATGTGCTTTTCCGTGGGGTTTTTACTATAAATACGCATCAGGGTCATTACAAATCATAATTTGATTATTCAAGATGTCAGATAATATGTCGTCGCCTCCGAAAAACCAAGAAGAAGACACCCCAACTTACTGTAATTGAACAGAAATTCCTTATCGATGTAGTGGATGAGTTTAAGGGTGTATTGGAGTCGAAACAAAATGATGTTCGGTCCATACAAAGGAAGGAAAAGGCGTGGAGAGAAATAGAGGCGAATTTTTGTTCCATGCCCACTTTCTTTAAACGAGATCACAAGCAGTTAAAGAAATGCTGGAATAATTTAAAAATGAAGGCAAAAAAATCTGTAGCGGTGGAAAAAAAAGATAGAAAGAAAACTGGTGGTGGTATAGTGGAGACAATGGATTCTAGTAATTCAAATCAGAAGATATGTGCTATGGTACCGGCACAAATGCAACCTCTGCAGAATGATTTTGATAACGATATGGAATTCCATCAAGATAGCTTCACTTTGGCTCAACCGACGTCAGGTTAGTTAAAGGGATACAGTCCTCTTATTATACATAAATGAACTTCTCAAATCCGCAAATCCAATTTCAATAAAAAGTAGATATTAATATGTCACTTCGATTTTGACAAGTGCTGTGGAAATTTCGAAAGAAGATAAATTACGAGAGTGATTCCACGTTTCGAAATAAGTTGCATATGCACGATTCGAACTGTTACGTAGCACCTTACTTTAAACAACCCCTTTTGCATTGGTACTAATTTTCAAAAATATATGATTATATTGTAATTTAATTTTCATTTCTATATTCAACACAGGTTCTCCCGTATTTACGCGATCCACAACCAGATCAGCCACTGCTACCAGCGGAACATTGTGTCCAGATACAAATATAGTTTCAACACAGAAATCATCAGCGGTTCCTACAAACCGGCGAACAACCGTGACGTCAACATTTGCTTCTGCGAAGTCCGATTTTGTCAACATGGGCCGAGAGGAACACCAACTGAAAATGAAACTCATAAACACCCAGATGGATGCGGCAAGAGAAGAGCATCAAGCGAAAATGGAAATTTATTCTAAGCAGTCAACCTTGCTTGATCTCCAGATACGCCATATACAAACTGCTTCTGTACGAGGAAATACTCGCCCTGAAGAGCAGATCATTTTGTCGCCGCCAAGAGCCTTTTTTTCAGCTGTAGAATAAAAATAAACGAAAAACAGTACAATTTTGTATTTTTCGTTAAATTCACTTTGTTAATAGTTATTCATTGTTACAGCCTTTCTAACTGCGTTTCCTTGTCGACTGTCATTAATGTTTCTTCTCGATGGTTGTCGTCTGTTGGTATTTCCATTTCCCAATTCCTTGAATCATCCAAATTCAAACACCTGGCGTTATTATGCAATACTGATGTTGCTACGATAACGGCCATTGTTGTATCCAGATTAGTTCGCAATGAAGTCGAAAGACATAGGAACCGTTGTTTCAGAACACCAAATATATTTTCTATAGTGTTCCTTGACTGTGCGTGTGCAAAATTGTAACGTCTTTCTGAATTGGTTATAGGGTTTCTAAAAGGCGTAAAAAGATAAGACCGGCATGGATATCCGGCATCGCCCAAAATGTAGCCGGTTTGGCGACCCTCTAACTTCAGTGAGACGCAGCTGTTGTCAAAGATCCTCGTATCGTGGGTAGAACCAGGCCATCTTGCTACTATGTCCCTTATCATGAGATTATGATCTCCTATTACCTGCACATTAATGGAATACAATCCTTTACGATTTCGAAATAATTCCGCTTGATCACCCTTCGGACATTGTATGGGAACATGTGTACAGTCAATTGTTTCAATTATCCCCGGAAACTGCGCAATGTCGTAAAAATTTCGTTGTATTGTTTTTATTTCATTTTCATCTGGAAACGTAATTACCTCAGGCCTATGAATAGCTATAGCCCTTGATACCAATTTCACTATTCGGGAGACACTGGATTGATGAACGCCCATTATGTCCCCCACGTTTATTTGGAAAGAGCCACTAGCATACCAACGAAGGTGGGATATGTGCAGTTTTGTCACATCGTTGATTGATGTCACCAGAAATCATTTCAAAAATATGCAGAACGCCATCCTTCGGAAATCTGAAGCGTTTCGTAAATTCACTCTCGTCTAGATCTTCCATTGGATTTGAGCGGTCTGTAAATCTCCTCTCCACATGGTAAATATCTATAATTTGGTGTAATTGGTTGAAATAATCTTCCATTGTCACAATTTCAATCGCGAACGTATATAAAGATCGGCTAAAGTATGCTACCACCCTATCTTAGACTTTACTTTAGTTTTGTCCACAAAACGCTCGAGTAAAGCATGATTTACATCAAAGATCGAGCGCAGCATACCTAAAGTCTGACTTAAGCTCGACTTTGAGTAAAGTACGACTAAAGTTCGACCGCAGCATACGGCCCTTAGAATATTAGAACGATCCGATCCACTCCCCAGCTAAAGAATGAATGAATGACAACAAACCCTACTACACTCCTATTTATCTCTCCCCCCAGATGGCCAACATATGAAATATTTTGTCAAAAGATCCCTTGTTGTTCTTTAACCCTAATTGCCATTCCTGACCGATTCCTTTTCTATACCCAGCAGCAGCATTACACCATCAACTCCAACTACTTACAGTGGAACACATACCAGATCATCAACTGGTAAGAATATACAAATATTTCAGATTCAGTCAATGACAATGAAATATTCTGATTTGTATCCCATGGAGGATTTCGGCCCTGTATTCGTCTAATTATCTAATCACTTGGCAGATGTGGTATGTGGTTCGGAAAGCTAGTAAATGATTTATTCTGATTTAACCTGATTTATTCTGTAGTAATAAATAATAATAGCTTCGCTTATTCTTCAGTTATAACTACACCTACTTCTAATAAAACCACACCGATTCAAACTGAAACAACATCGAGTCAAACTAAAACCACATCGATTCAAACTACTTCCCAGCCTACAACCACAATGCTATCATATAGTAAGAGCCTTACTTATTATTAAACAACAGATCATAATATTCCAGTCTACCATATTGTATAAGATTGCTTTCAATAAATATTATTTGCTATCGCATTTCTGTTTAAACAAGTCTTATATCTGTACGAAAATAAAAGTTATGCAGTTAACGAGTTAAGATGCTGTTATCTCCCGATAACTTTACAGATGACAGATTAACTAATTGAATTGGTCATTTTCATTTTCATTTGTAGGTACAACTTTTGTGACTAGTTCTACAGAAACGAGTAAGATCTTTATTCACAATGTTCAGATAACAAGACACACAAAAACCACAATCTTAGTTCCTATATAGAACATTTAAATTTTACTATACTCTCTAAATAGTCCTAATGAATGTATTT